GATCCTGTCGGACTCGGTTTGTGAGCTCGGCACCGAGGACTGCAGCACAAAGTTCTAACCGTGGTAGCGATTGTTTGGCTGCTGGCGCCACACGTGATTTCGAACAGAGCAGTCTTACTGACACTTGGTTGTTTTTGTATGTAGCGCGTACATATACAGCTGCGCCATATGCTCGTTCTGATGCATCTACAAACGTATGGAGCTCTTGGGTAACTGGAATTTTACCATCGTAGATATGTCGGGGAATTTGCATTTTGTTCAATGTTTGTAAGTCGTCCCGGTATTCTTTCCATTCGATTTGGTGTTGTAATGGTAATTCGTCATCCCAATCCAGTTTGAGCTCCCAAAGTTGTTGCATGAAGATTTTTGCCTTTATTACCACCGGTGCAAAGAGTCCTAGTGGGTCAAAGATTTGGGCCAGTTCGGAACATACCACCCGTTTGGTGATGCGTGTAGCCTGGCTTTTCTGTGTTCGTCCACACAATGTATCCTTCTTCGGCATCCAGATGAGACCCAGAGTTTTCACGCTGTAGTGCTCTAGTGTCTCTCCTAGTTTTACATCGGTTACAATATCCTCTTTGGGGATTCCTTGGAGAAGTTGCTCATTGTTGGAGCACCACTTGCGCAATTTGAAACCGGACGGTAGCAATATCTTATTTAGTTCTTGTCGAACATGAATTGCTTCTGGAATCGTGTTTGCTCCAGTTAGACAGTCGTCTACATAGAAATCTGTTTTTAATGTTGTTGATCCTACTGGTAGTCTGTCTTTGTATTGTATTGCCAAATGATCCAGACATTTCGTTGCTAGGAAAGGAGCAGCTGTTGTTCCATACGTTACTGTTTTCAGGCGATAGTACCTGATCTCTTCGGATGGATTGTTTCTCCAGACTATCATCTGATGGAATTGATCCTCCGGATTCATCCACACTTGCCGGTACATCTTTTCTATGTCCGCTGTGAATACGTACTTATGAATTCGAAATCGTAGCAGAATGGACATAAGTTCGCTCTGAACGGTGGGTCCAGCCTGCAGAATGTCGTTCAAGGATTTCCCGCTTGTTGACTTGCATGATGCATCGAATACTACCCGAAGCTTTGTGGTGGTGCTCTCAGGTTTGAGTACACAATGATGTGGAATGAAGTAGTGCCTTTTGGGAACTTTTGATGCTGGGACAATCTTCATATGTCCTAGTCGTTCATACTCTTCCATGAAGTCCACATAACTCTTCCAAGTTTCTGTTGAGCTTCGCCGCTCCAGCGCTAGGAATCTTTTTGTTGCGGTTTCCAAAGACTCCCCCAGGGCTGAAGGGTGTTCGGAAAATGGGAGCTTTACAATAAAACGGCCGTCTGAAGCTGTCTGAAGATTTTCTATAAAATGAGCTTCACACCGTGCTTCCACTGGAGTGCGTGGTTTGTCTTCTGTCTCTAGATTGTCCAGAGTCCAGAATCTTTCCATGAGCTCGTTTACTCCCGTGGCACAAATGGGTGAGGAGTTGTGGGCAGATTTGACTTTTCCTGCCACAATCCATCCCAGTTTCGTGTTTTGTAGCAACGGGCCTCCTGTCCTTAGCTGCTGTTGATTTGGTAGCAGCAGCGAGTAGTAATGCTCGGCTCCGATTAGCATGTCGATTTTGCCTGGCTTATGGAAGTTTGGATCTGCCAGTGAGATCTTGCTTGGTATGTTTCAGCTATCTGAATCGAGTGCCTGAGCTGGTTGATCAGCTATTATCTGTGGTAATACGAAAGCTTCAATTCTTTGCGTAAAACCATTGTGAAGGGATTTCATGAGCACATTTACTCGTGCTCTGCTGGTCTTTGATTGACCTCCAATTCCTTCGATCCGTAATGTTGTGTCTTTTAGTTTGAGTGACAACATTGATGCCATTCGTTCAGAGATCACGTTTATCTGTGATCCTGAATCTAGCAGTGCTCTGAAATTAGCAACCTGCCCGTTGTTGGCTTCTACTGCCACCTTTGCTGTGGCCAAAAGATTGTAACTATTGTTACTTGCTGCACCAACCGTCGGGCCTCTTGATTCTGTAGCTGCGCCTGATGCTGTTTCCAAATGTAGCATCGTGTTGTGCTTCTTGTCACACTTGAAGCAGTTTCGACCAGGGCATGCGTTTGTTTTGTGATTTGTTCTAAAACAATTAATGCACATTTTTTGTTTTTGTACCCAATTTAGTCGTTCTGATGGAGATTTGGAGCGAAATTCTTCGCATCCGTAGAGCCAATGGCTTGCTTTTTTGCAGAATGTGCATAAGGGTGCTCGAGTTCTCCCTGTGTTTGCTGATGCACATGTCGTGCCTTTTGGCTCTCTCCTTGATGCTGGTGGCTTCTTACTGGTTCCTAGAACCCGAATTCTTTGCTCCAAGAACTGAAGCATCGTATCCAGCGCCTGAATGTTCTTTGAGCTTCCCAATGATTGCTCATACAAGGCCTTATTTGTTACATCCAGTTTGTTCCTGATAATGGCAATCAATATCGGATCCCATGTAGATATATTGATGCCCAATCCCTTTAGTGATGCAAGGGATTCTATGGTTGTTATATACAATTCTTTTAATGACTTTGGATCGTCATTAATTGTTTGGTGATTGAGGAAGCGGTTCAGTACCGTGTTCGAAACATCTCTGGGATTGTTGTATGCGTCAACTAGTATTTCCCAAGCGGCTTCATAATTTTCTTCCTTTAGATCGATATGTCGAATCAATCTTTCTGCCTCGCCGGTAACGGTGGTTTTAAGATACCACATCTTTTTCACCGTAGGCATGTTGGTCTCATGCACCATGCATGAGAACAGACCGAAGAACTGGGTCCATTTTAATAGATCCCCATCAAACTTTGGGATGCTGATGCGTGGAAGATGCACGTTATCCGTGTTTGGTGTGGCTGATTTTGCCAATGCTCTTTGGACCCTACTTTCCAGTGTTAGGTAGGATTCCATGTCATACCCTCCTTCCACTGGGTCCTCATATTCCTCATGAATTGTGAAGTGGACTTCCTGTGCTTGAGTCCATAGTGATTTTATCAAATCATTTGATGTGCGTCCATCCGCCTCTGAAAGTTGTTCCAGATTGCGTTTAACGGACTCTATTATGGCCTTTTGTCGGCGACATAGTGAAAGCAGTTTGCTGTAATCCTTTGAGGGCTGCTGGATCAGACCGCTTTCTTTGGGATCTACTGGAGGATTCTCATGCTTTTCTTTAAAGACGATTTGACGTTCCCCACGAGCACTAGTAGTCTGTGATAGCTTATCCAGGCATTCGGTAAAGATCGTAATGTGTTGCTTACAGGTTGTACGTACGTCTTCACGGAATTTTACGTATTCATCTGTTTTGTCTGTATCGCGAAGTTTGGAGTCGTTTTTGTTGAAGCGATTCCACGCATTTTCGAGTGCTGATATTTTGGCTTGAAAATAAGAGGCCGATTGCTTTCGTTCTTGGGGATCTTTTTTAAAGTTCCGAATGCACCTCAATATTTCCTCACCAATCTCTTGTTGCACATTCATTGCCATTGTAGCGGCAGCTTCTGCCTCCATATGTGTATCCATTCTATCTGTTTGTACTTATTACTTTTTGACCCGTTGGGAGTGTTTTATTTGCTTTGCAGCTGGATACGCTCCGAATCGCAACCGTTGTTGGTCAGAAAGGTAATAGTACAGGTGATGTGTTGGATGGAGGGATTTGTGCTGTTTCCAATCTATGGAACGCACGAAAAAACAAAAATTGATTGCCTCGGTGGTAATCGAATTCTATAGCTGTTTTTCTGTTGGCTGATAACCTGAATATGTCAGATTTGCCAAAGTGATACTTATTGGTAGGAGATGCTACCGTAAGTGTATGGCCTGATGCCAAATTTTTATTGAAGATGTCCTGTTGACTGCTTCAATCTGATGTCCAGATCGAATCCTTTCACTGTAGCTTGTTATACAGTTTGAAAGGATGACCAAGGTCGGGGGTCACCAAATGTTAATGTGTGTATGTGTGTGTGTAGGAAGCTGGGTTGCATACGGTACATAAACCGTCTACAGTTTGGTCGTCGCAACTAGAACTTGAACCAGTTGGACTGCGGAGAGGGTATCCTACGGTGCGCAAGTGAGGATCTGAAGACACAGCGACAGCCTCTGATGATTGCGATGGAAGATGAGTGACAGGCAGCTATGGTACTGTTTCTGATACTGACTTTATTGAACAAATGCATCTCCTTATATAGCTAACAGTGGAATTCTTATTCTATGGGAAGGACCGCACAGGCTCCTTGTGAGTGTATTTTTAGATTGGGTACACTTACTCTGTGCGGGGGTTATATTTCAGTGTATTTACTTAGGTACTTGGCAGCAATAAAATAGATAGTTTATTGCTTGATCCCTTTTGGTGGGTTCGAGTTTACAAGTGCTATTGTCTATTCTTAGTTGCTAATGTATTTTTCGTGTCGTCATATTCAGTTACATGAAATGACATGAACAATTTTATTTATGAGTATTTGTGTATGAGATTGAACTGTATATTCCTAATATTCATTAAATACATGTCTGTGGCTGAACAGTTTTGTTTTTTAAATATCGTTGACGTCCGGCATCGTACTGAAAGCACTACTTCGGTCGTTCTTCCCAGTGAGAGAGAATATTATGTGACCGTTGAAATGGGCCTTTTCTTAAAATAGCTTCGAGCCCTAAAAGCCCTGTCTGTTAAAAGTAGATCCTTGTACGAAGGTTTTCGAACAGTGAGAGCACTGGTAGGGTCTTTCACCTGTGTGGGTGCGGTTGTGTATTTGAAGATGAGAGAGTTGTGTAAATGACTTCGAGCAGTGAGAACACTTATGCGGTCGCTCCCCAGTGTGAGTACGTATGTGTGCGCTGTGATGGGCTTTTTGTTTAAATGACTTGGAGCAGTGGGTACACTGATATGGTCGCTCCATCGCGCATTTTTGGATGTGCAATTTGAGTGACTCTTTCTCTTGAAATGACTCCTGGCAGTGACAACATTGAAGGGGTCGCTCTACAGTGTGAGTACGACTATGTGCCTTGAGATTGTGTTTTTCTGTAAAGGATTTTGAGCAGTCGGAACATTTGAAGGGTCGTTCATTTCTGTGCCAACGCAGGTGTCTTTTGAAACAGTACAGTTGGGAGAAAGACTTTGAACTGTGAGAGCATATATAGGGTCGTTCACCTGTGTGCGTACGGGTGTGAATCTTTAGATATCCCCGCGAGCTAAATGACTTTGTGCAGTGAGAGCATAGGTAGTGTTTTTTACTTGAAGGGAAACGTGTGTGGTCTTGAAGATGGGAGCATTGGTAGAGTCGATCACCCAGCTGTGTGCGGTTCTGTATCTGACGATGGGCAATTTGTTTAAACGACATCGAGCATTGCGAAAGTTTGAAGGGTCGATCATCGGTGTGCTTATGGGTGTGTCTTTCAAGATTATATTTATTTGCAAAAAACTTCGAGCAGTAGGAACATTGGTAAGGTTGATCACCTGAGTGCGTTCGAGTGTGTGATAGGAGCTGGGATTTTTGATGAAAGGATTTTGGGCAGTCGGCGCATTTGTAGGGACGTTCCACATTGTGTATTTTTTTGTGTCTATTTATATTCGATTGACGCGTATAGCTCTTTGGACAAAGACTACATTTGAAGAGATTATCGAGATCCTTATCACTTTGGACCTCTGCATCGGGTTCAAATTGGATCGATTGCTCACTTTCAATATCTGAGGGTTCCCAATCCTCGTCTTCCAGATTGTCACAGATGCCTTCTTCTCTATCCTCCTCCATCACTGGGAAATAGAGTTTATGACTGTGCTCACAGGTTTTCTTAAGGATGAATGCACTCACTGCATCCTCGAGGCAGGGCGGACATATGTTTTCTGGTAGTAAATCGCCTCGCCTAACCACGTACCCGGTGCACTGTGCTATGATGTCAGCAATACAAGTATCCAATGTTGGTCTTTCATCAAAAAAATATTTGTGAATGCTCCGGAGTTTGCCATGCAAACTCTGCATATTTCCTCCATAGTCCTGCAAGTAAATGACAATTATATATAAGAATACAGGACGCGCAATTACATGCAGGAATGCATCGGATACAAAACAAAACAACGAACTAACTTGTGTAATAATTGCAAATTGTTTAGATTGAGGTGTCTTTGGTACGAATTGTTTGTTTTGACCACAAAACATAATAATTAGAGCTGTTAGACGCGAAATGCAGCTCGACAAATTTATGTTATGCGGACAGCCAACGAAAAGTGCTGTCAGGCGCGAGAGGTATCGATGTGCTATCGAAATAGTTTATGTTAACTGCAATGTTTTGAAGAAATTATATTTATTTAAATTTTGTGTTGTGATACTTCAAGTGGACAGAACAAGATGCAACGCATCGAAGAATTAATGGATTATGCTCAAGAACAACGGACCAGCTTTGTACCTATGCAACAGGTGGCGGCATGGAATACTGCAAGTGTATTTGCTGAATATATAAATACATTCTCGAGATACAATTTTACGTCCTTTCACAGCGCAAAAAGCATATAATCTGTTGCATGCGAAGATATCGATAGGCGAGACCCTAGAAGCGCTGAGAGGAAGGTATTTTTTTGAACAGAGTGGCAGGGCCAAAATTTAAGGGGAAAGGTTAGCGAAGAGTGGCCACCTGGTCCTGGAGAGTAAGAGTTCCGCGCGCTCACCGGAGCCGTTGTGAGAGGATTTCCGATGTCATCCCATAACGGAGTCCCGAAGCCAACTCACCCACACCCAAAAGAAAAGAGAGCCGCCAGCAGCCCGAATCAGGCCATGCCCTTGAACCTAGTTCAAGGGCGATAGAAGAGAGAGCGATGGGGATCGGCAGCCGGGAGCATTAAACAGAACAGCCAAGAGGGGGTTCAGAGAAAAAAAAAATTCCCGCAACGGAGGAGCATGCGCGCCGGACCTAGTGACTTAGCGATTTTTTTTTGTTCTGAAAGAAAAAGGGATCCAGATCAGGGAAAGACCAGGAACCAGGACCAGGAAGCATAAGAGGGAATAGGTCACAGCTCCGCCACCCTGGCTTGTTTTTCCTGCTGGTCTCGAAGGAACAGACCTGGCCACGTAGTGCGGGACCCTCGCCCACTTAGGGAGAAGAAAAAAATCACATCAACTTATTTACTCCCATTAATTATTTTTGTTAGACGTCTCCAGTTATAAGTATATGTAATTTAAGTCCGTCCATATTTATTATATATATGTAACCTATTTATTTATATTTATTATATTATTTATTCCTATTAATCTAATTATTTATTAACCGCCAGTAGTACTAAGATGAGGGTGGGATGAATAGGCAGGCCTAGTTTCGTGATATCGTGTGAAAATAGGAAACTGAAGTAAAAATTATAACGAAGAAATGAATTGTTAAGCGTTTCGTATGGGGGGAAGAGGAGCCACAGCAACGAGAGGGTAAGGCTTTTGCCAATGGCAGGGAGATCCGGAACGTGTGATTCAGATCTCAGGTAGGGTGGGTGCGTCGGGGGTAAAACATCGACACCTCGACCTGGTCCAAGTCTGTGTTGAGGGAAGACTGTAATGTTGTTTGTCGAGTAGAGTCCGTTTTTTTCAGTTTTTTTTTTGTCGGTTATTTTTGTTGTTTCATTTTGTTCGAGATGTCCAATCAGTTGGTTGTTGTGCGACCTGAGGGCTTGGGAAGTATCCAGCCCTGGGATGACTGGCTAGCCGGCCTTGCCCCAAAGAAAAACAAAGGTTCGTAACAATAACGGCGCCCAAGCTGAGACAGGGAAGTGGACTCGCAGTCCTGGCTCGACCATCAAAGAGGGAGAGTACGGATGCGAATCATACGGACGTCGAAGAAATTATAAATATCCAGCAGAGAAGATAGATCTCGAGTGGTATTCTGCAATCTGGGGTCCATCGGTGTTCCGGTGGCCTGTGAGGGACTCGACGAGTTGGCTCACAGAAGCACGGCGCTGAGGGACCTGAGGATGCAAGAAAAAAATCCACAAAGTAAATAGTTTTTTTTTATGTTTGATGTTTCGGCACTTATCTGACAACGGGAAGCAGGCAATCTCAAGAGGGGATTTGGTTTGGCACTGGCAGAGGAGAATCCAAAAGCCAGTTAGCAACCGGCCCGGTGCCTGGTGTGCAAAAGGAGAACCGGAAGAAAAAGAAATACCCGAAGTTAGGAATGGTCAGAAAGATTTCTGTTTTTCGCTTCCCCTGCTTACCGCTGGATGGAGTCGGGAGAGTAGATTCTCAAGGAGATTTTTTGTTCTGAGTGGCCCGTGGGGACAGATGTCGGCCACGCGTTGCACTCGGAGCAGCTACAACATCCCGCAACGAACATTCAGTAGGGAAGTAGGCGGAAACAGCGACTGTAGGGAAGTGAGCGCCCTTGACTCTTAATCTTTCAAGGAAGATAAGATCAGTCAACAGCGCTCGCCAAATTCTAGACGTTGGACAGGAAAAGACGTAGAACACCATGTGCAGAGTTGGCCCTAGTAGTAGTTGTGGTTCCTTTCCCCCTTATTAGTGTTTTTGCCGTATTAAACGTTTTTGTGCTGAAGATCAGTGAGTTGGCGTTATAGGTAGTGTTATGCGATTGTTCTGAAAGAAGAGTAGATAATTAATTGTATTGAATAAAAAGATAATTAGGATAGTTCGAGGTAGGGAAATACAGGGCTAGGTTGATGAGCGCGTACAACTTGCGGTCTAAGCAGAAAATGACTCGCAGGACTCCTCCACCAGGTAACCTCCAAGGACAGATGCAAGGCGGGGACACACAGGGCGCTGAGGGGCGTGAAGACGACAGCTGGAATTTGCCAGGCCAATCGAACGCACTGCCCTCCGAGATTCTCTCAGGAGTAAATGTCGCCATAGCGCAAGCACAGGAGACGTGGAGAGGCAGCATGGCAGATACCCTGAGTAGGACGTTGCAGGAGGAGATCCGTCGCGGCTTTATGGAGCTGATGGGGGCCATAACAGAGGTGATGGCGCCTCTGAGATTGGAAAGAGACCAGGGTGAAAACAACGATAATAATAATGGCGATCAGCAGCCTCTAGCTCACCTCAGGCAGAAGCCGAACACAGGGACCATGCCCAAAAGACCCAAGGACGATGACGCATGGAATTCACAGTCGCCTCCAAGGAAGCCGGCGAGGTTGAGCCAGAACTGGCGCCGAGGAATAGCCGATGCGGACCTGGATCCAGGTGCTGGAAGGCAGAGACGGGAGACATCAGGAGACGGCGGAGGTCCAACAGATCTGCCACCATATGAAAGGAGAGATGATTGGAGAGGAGCGAGAGGGGGGCGCGTCGACAAATGGGAAATCCACTTCGACGGAGATGGAGATCCAAATAAGATGACGGTGCAGGACTTCGTGTTCAGGGTCGAGTTCCTCCGTAGGCAGAACCGACGGTCGTGGGACGAGGTCCTTGACAACTTTCACCATCTCGTCAAAGGACAAGCGGCGGAGTGGTATTGGCAATTTGTCCGAGAACGGCCTCCGGAAGGATGGGAGGATTTGAAGGACGAGTTGGTGTCCCGGTTCCGAGCAGTGGGTGGCGAGTTCGAGCGGCTACGCACCTTGCATGAGCGAAGACAACAATCTGGCGAATCTGTGGAAGAGTATTTTAGAGCGATGCGCAGACTGGCAGCTAGACTCACCACACCTTTGGTTGAGTCCGAAATGGTGCGAGTCTTGAAGAAGGGGCTCGATGATGAGATCGCCCGCTACGTTTACGCGATCCGAGTCCGGAACGTGGAGCAGCTGAGGGAAGAGTGCCTGGAAGTGGAGTACCACTTTCGCGGACGCGAGCAGAAGTCGACGTTCCGTCCTGTGCCGAAATTCCAATCAGCCGGGAAGCGAGTGGAGGAGCTAGAGCCGGAAACGGAGTTTCTGGATGAAGACGAAGCAAGGATGGTGGAAGAAACTCACCTGGCGAACAAACCCAGGCTGTGTTGCTGGAATTGCGGCCAGTTCGACCACGGATTCCGAGACTGCGTGGCGAAGGAACGCAAAATATTCTGTTACCGCTGCGGGAAACCAGAAATGTTTACTCCAACGTGTCCCAATTGCTCGGGAAACGCACGAGCGGGCATGATGAAAGCGGGAGATCAGCGCTCGGGACAGAAGCCCGCGAAGAAATGAACGATGGTCCACTAAGTAATATAGAATTTAAGAATAATAGCCCGAATAAATTAAATAAAAATAGTTTGAAGTTTATACCGGCCGAAGAGAGGATGAGGAGATACATACAAATTCGAAACCAGATCTTTGATGACAGGCAGCTGGAGGGGATGCGCGGTGTCAGTCGTAGACTCCAAAAGGCCCGTTCCAGATTTAAGGAAAGGCGACAGACTCGCAAAGAGGTGGCCGAGGCAGTCAGACGAGGAGCAGGACGCGATCCCAGAGTGTTTGCCGAAGTGCAGATAAGAGGACATCGGATTGCTGGACTCCTAGATACTGGGGCATCCGTTAGCGTCTTAGGAAAGGGCAGCCGTGAACTCCTTGCCGACCTTGAGGTGGAAATGGACAATTATGTCTCGATCATCAAGACAGCCTCTGGAGAGGACAGGTCCATAATCGGCAAAACCAAACTCTGCGTAGGATATAACGGAATGAACAAAGAGATCTTGTTTTACGTATGCCCGTACCTAGAGCAAGCCATGTACTTGGGCATTGATTTCTGGAGATCCTTCGCGCTGGCTCCCACAGTCCTCGGAGAAGAGCCCAGTAGATCCAGCGAGGTCCAAGTAGGCGAGATCCAAATGTCAAAAATCAGCCAGTACGCCGAACATCGCCAGGAGGACGTGGAAGTGGAAGCTTGGGCCCTGGAAGACACGGAAACCGAAGAGCTGGAGAAGGTAAAGAAGGAGTTTCTGACCTATGAGGATGCCGGATTGGGAACAACGACGGTAGAGCAGCATCGGATCCAGTTGATCGAGGGCGCAGAACCATTTAAAGATCGGCATTACCCTCAATCCCCAGCGATGCAGGAGGTGATCTGGACCGAGGTGGATAAAATGCTGGAGCTAGGAGTGATCGAGGTTAGCGATAGTCCATGGAGCAATCGGACGACGGTGGTGCGAAAGCCAAACAAAAATAGATTCTGTTTGGACGCGCGGAAACTGAACCAGCTCACCGTAAAAGATGCTTACCCTCTTCCTAGTATCGAGGGTATACTATCCAGGATTGACCAGACATACTACATTTCTAGCGTCGACCTCAAATTCGCATTCTGGCAGATTAAACTGGACCCAGAAAGCCGGAAGTGCACCGCATTTACCGTCGCAGGCCGTCCGCTGTATCAATTCGTGATGATGCCCTTCGGTCTGTGTAACGCTGCCCAGAGGTTATGCAGAGTGATGGATAAGGTAATCCCAACTCAGCTCCGATCAAACGTTTTCGTTTATTTGGACGATCTTTTGGTGATAGCCCCGGATTTCCAGACGCATCTGCGGTATCTGCGATTGGTGGCCCAGTGCCTGAAAAGAGCGAATTTGACGATAGGCTTAAAAAAATCCAAATTCTGTATTAAGTCGCTGAAATACCTAGGGTTTATCATCGGAGGTGGCACGCTGCAAATGGATCCCGATAGGGTTGTGGCTATACAAAAGATCCCGAACCCAAGTTCAGTGAAGGAGCTACGGAGCTTCATAGGAACCGCAGGATGGTATAGGCGCTTCATCAAGGACTTCGCAACCATCGCTGTACCGTTAACAGATGCTCTGAAGAAGCATGCGCGCGGGAAGTTTTCCTTGCCAACGGAAGCGAGGGCGGCCATAGAATCCCTGAAAAAGGCCCTCACCACGGCTCCTGTATTAGTCCATGCCGACTTCAAACGCCATTTTTACATCCAGTGCGACGCCTCAAATTTTGGAGTGGGAGCAGTGCTTTTCCAGCTGGATGACGACAAAGCAGAGCGTCCAGTGGCATTCTTTTCTTCCAAGCTGAACAAACACCAAATAAATTATTCTGTAACGGAGAAAGAATGTTTAGCTGCGGTATTGGCGATAGAGAGATTCAGGCCATATGTGGAATTGATGCCGTTCACAGTAATCACTGATCACGCCAGCCTTAAGTGGCTAATGTCACTCAAGGACCTGAATGGGCGTCTAGCGAGATGGTCATTGCGGCTGCAGAGGTTCGATTTTGAGATCGAACACCGCAAGGGAGTCGAAAATATAGTGGAGGATACACTATCACGCTGCATCGAGGAGGTGGTTCTAGACCCAACGGAAATCCTCGGATTCCAGACGACGGAATTCAAGTCAACGGAATACCAGGAGCTGAAAGAAGAAATCTGCAGGAACAAAGAAGTATTGCCTGACCTGCGAATAGACGGGGACCTAGTATTCAAGCGAATGGCCTTCGCGCAAATCGACGACCAAGTGGAAGGTTCCATGTGGAAATTATGGATTCCCGCGGCATTGACGAAAACCCTCATCGCAAAGGCCCACGAAGACCACACAGCTGGACACGGTGGAATGAAGAAGACCTTGCATAGATTAAAAAGGCACTACTACTGGCCGGCGATGACGGCACAAGTGCGGGAATACGTCCGAAGCTGCACCGAATGCAAGGAATCCAAAGCACCCAATTACCGGAGCCAAGTCGGGATCGGTCAGGAAGTAACCACGGAGAGGCCATTCCAAAAGCTCTACATACAGCCAGGCTCCGTTTTTCACATTCACAAAAGTTTTCCGATTTACTTTTGAAATCACATAAATTGGGGCTCTCTTTTTCCCATTCCGCAAGATTTCTTCGTTTTCAAAACGAAAACATTTTCGTTGACGAAATGAAAAGTAAACGGCTTTTTATACAACAAAACGAACCTTAATTGCAAAAGGAAAAAAATAGATGACTTATTGATTCATTTACATCAACTTGATACCTATATCAGGGTAATTTAACTTGTGCTTTCTTTATAAATAATTTTATTTTAACCCAACCTAAAATTTGGCTCGGAAAAAATTGGCCACAGCAACAACAAATTTCGTTTTGGTGTAAGCAGCTGACGCATTCCGATTTGGTTATCGGAACGTTGGCAATTAATAAATTTTTGCGTATAACAGCACAAATGTGCATGTAACAGCTCAGACTGTGCTTGTAACATGTGCTTAACAGAACATCTGGGTGAGCACAGCTGTTTCCCGCCCAATTTAATTCGGACTTCAAAATGTAACATATCGATAAAAAAATATGTGAAAAATGGAACACCTTAAAACGAAAACGAAACGTTTTGGCTGAAAACGTAATCCGCAAAAGTAAATGAAAAACGGAGCCTGCCTGATAGACTTCCTTGGAAAGTATCCCAGGTCGAAAAGGGGACAGGCCTGGATTTTCGTCGTCGTAGACCACTTTTCGAAATTCACCTTCTTGAAGGCGATGAGAGAGGCGACCGCGGCGAACGTCATTCAATTCCTGGTGCAAGAGGTCTTTTACAAATTCGGGGTGCCAGAGGTGATCCACTCCGACAACGGAAAGCAGTTCCTGTCGAAGACTTTCATGGACATGGTCAGCGGCTTCGGGATCCGACACATGCGCACAGCAGTATACTCGCCGCAAAGCAATGCAGCCGAGAGAGTAAATCGGACGATACTCGCTGCAATAAGGACGTATTTGGAGAAGGATCACAGGGACTGGGACATCTACCTACCGGAGATCGAAGTGTCAATCCGTGACTCCGTGCACGAAGCCACAGGCGTCACGCCGTTCTTCGCTGTATTTGGACAGCAGATGTTCCTGAATGGGAACTGCTATAGGCTGGCGAGGAAGCTGCAGTCTTTGACGGAACACGAAGTGCACGCATTAGATCCCGCGGATAAGCGACACCTCATTCGCGAGCAAATTAAACACAGCCTACACCAAGCGTATGAGCGGAGCAGCCAGCGTTATAACAAACGGGCCCGAGTCTTTTTCGCCAGACCTGGCCAAGAAGTCTACAGGCGCAACTTCACCCTCAGCGACTTTGGCAAAAGCTACAACGCCAAGTTCGCCCGGAAATTTCTAAAATGCAGAGTCGTACGTCCAGTAGGGAATAACGCCTACGAGCTGGAGGATCTGTCGGGGAGGCCGGTGGGGATTTTTCACGCCAAAGATCTAAAATTGTAGCGAAAATTGCAGACTGGGGACTTCAGAGTTAAAAACACTCACTTAAGGATTATCAGATACGTGGGTGTAAGCCTACGTTGGGCGCTGCAAGATCCTCCTAGGCACTGTAATGTCCGAGAATGCCAGCATTTTTGGTGAAGGTGTAGCTCTTCGATGTTTGCGAATAATTCTCCGCGGCCATGGTCGCTCGAATTTTCGCTAGGTGTTGCATGCGAAGATATCGATAGGCGAGACCCTAGAAGCGCTGAGAGGAAGGTATTTTTTTGAACAGAGTGGCAGGGCCAAAATTTAAGGGGAAAGGTTAGCGAAGAGTGGCCACCTGGTCCTGGAGAGTAAGAGTTCCGCGCGCTCTCCGGAGCCGTTGTGAGAGGATTTCCGATCTCATCCCATAACGGAGTCCCGAAGCCAACTCACCCACACCCAAAAGAAAAGAGAGCCGCCAGCAGCCCGAATCAGGCCATGCCCTTGAACCTAGTTCAAGGGCGATAGAAGAGAGAGCGATGGGGATCGGCAGCCGGGAGCATTAAACAGAACAGCCAAGAGGGGGTTCAGAGAAAAAAAAAATTCCCGCAACGGAGGAGCATGCGCGCCGGACCTAGTGACTTAGCGATTTTTTTTTGTGCTGAAAGAAAAAGGGATCCAGATCAGGGAAAGACCAGGAACCAGGACCAGGAAGCATAAGAGGGAATAGGTCACAGCTCCGCCACCCTGGCTTGTTTTTCCTGCTGGTCTCGAAGGAACAGACCTGGCCACGTAGTGCGGGACCCTCGCCCACTTAGGGAGAAGAAAAAAATCACATCAACTTATTTACTCCCATTAATTATTTTTGTTAGACGTCTCCAGTTATAAGTATATGTAATTTAAGTCCGTCCATATTTATTATATATATGTAACCTATTTATTTATATTTATTATATTATTTATTCCTATTAATCTAATTATTTATTAACCGCCAGTAGTACTAAGATGAGGGTGGGATGAATAGGCAGGCCTAGTTTAGAAATGATATCGTGTGAAAATAGGAAACTGAAGTAAAAATTATAACGAAGAAATGAATTGTTAAGCGTTTCGTATGGGGGGAAGAGGAGCCACAGCAACGAGAGGGTAAGGCTTTTGCCAATGGCAGGGAGATCCGGAACGTGTGATTCAGATCTCAGGTAGGGTGGGTGCGTCGGGGGTAAAACATCGACACCTCGACCTGGTCCAAGTCTGTGTTGAGGGAAGACTGTAATGTTGTTTGTCGAGTAGAGTCCGTTTTTTTCAGTTTTTTTTTTGTCGGTTATTTTTGTTGTTTCATTTTGTTCGAGATGTCCAATCAGTTGGTTGTTGTGCGACCTGAGGGCTTGGGAAGTATCCAGCCCTGGGATGACTGGCTAGCCGGCCTTGCCCCAAAGAAAAACAAAGGTTCGTAACAAATCGAATGAATCGGGTGAATGAATGAAAGAATCGAATGAATGAATGTGTTATCGAATCTAACAATATGGCTATTCATATAATTTGTTTTTCCTTTTGAACTGATTTGATTAATAAATTCTGAATAGCAAAATATTCTATGACCCGAATTACTGACAAAAAAATTAGAGCTGTTAGACGCCAGATGAACCAAAAAAGAAGTCCTGGTAGGCGCGAAAAAAAATGGGTATTTGTGTATCAATTATTGTATTTTTGCTTTTTTGCTTTTGCTTTAACAAAGCTTTAGGAAGGTTTTGCGAGGTCCCCGGTGTTCCCGGTGTCGCTCCCAACCAGTCGGTGCTCTCTATCTGGCAGATCGTTCAAATGGGCTCCGTGGGCACATGTTCCTCCTGTGCTTGCGTGCTTGCTGCCTTCAGCTGCAGACGCTTCTGCGTTTTTTCTGCCATCCTGATTGAACCTCATGCAGGATATGATATCCGCATCTTTGATATCCGGCTTTCTGCTGTCTCTCTTACTTACATAATTGGCAGCACTAACAAAGTCGCAAAAATGTGACTTAAGAATTGCCAGTATTTCGCATTCGAAATTGACTCGTTCAGTTTTAGTCCAATTTAGCGAAGAACTAAACCAGATGAAACCGAGCACCGTGGCGGGCAAGATGTCATAGTTGGAACTCACTTTTTATGTTAAGGTTTCATACATATCAGCTTCCCGGATATCCGCTGCCGTCTACTAGAGGGCGTTTGGTGGGTGCGCCACCTGCTGAGAAATTCAAATTGTATGAAGATTTCATGCACTTCAGCATTTGTCGAGTGACAAGAATATAATTTACATACAGCGGCGAGACTTTGTCAGATATAGGTTAGATTAATTACATGTGCATGTAGCTTACATGTTACCGATGTATATTACCGAACATGTAGCAAACAAACTTTCTGGATTAGATCCCAGGATCTTCAGCTTTGGCGTTCGCCTTTCACCGTTTTGTGATTGACCGGGTAATGTTATTTTATTTCCAACCTGTTCATCATTTCCATTTTTTCTTGTTCCTCTCCTCTTCTCTTATTTTGTATTCCCTCCAGCTTCCGCCGTAGCTCCTTCTCCTCTCGGGATGTCCAATGGTCCTTCACCCTGGCCATTTACAATAAGGACTTTGACTATGGTAACCAATGGATTGGCTACGCGGGCTACTAGACTCTAGATAGATCTCGTTGTTGTTTTAGGATAGGTTTAAGATAGATACAACTGTTTTCCAGTTGTTTATTTATTCATACTAAGTTTAGTTTTTATGAATTAATATGGGACGCGGGGGTTTTCCAATTAAACGATCCTATTTAACAGTCAGGAAAACAGGAAAATATGACTGGAGAAAATATCCTTGATAAGGGCTTCACCAAATCAAGGATTTTCTTACGATCACAGGAAGCCGTCCGACGTCCAGATGGGGCCACAAATAGCGACGAAATCGGAATATGATGTAACCATCATGAAATTTTCCAAAAATCAGCCTCATTT